CACAGTATCGTATTCGATATGCACCGCAAGCAGGCACATCGACTGCCACTTACTTTGAGCGAATGGCTGGAATCGAGGAAAAGTTTTATGAGTAAGGCTTTTTGTGGAGACTTGAGAAGAAATGTAGTAGTCGCACCAAAAGTAATGTATTTATTATTGGCAGAATATGGAAAGACATGTCACTGAATGATAGTCTAAGTGATGACGAACGGGCAAAACTGGCAGTGTGGGACTATCCAGTCAGCGACAAGTACACCAAAATATGGTCACAAATTCTTGAAGCAAAGATGCCACAAAGTTGGGCAGAAGGTCTTCGGCGTGTGAAGAATGATGAGCAAAACAGTGAACAGTTTGCTTTCATCTGTAAGTGTTCAAGTGCAATGCTTTTGTGATGTGTACTAATTAATTGAAAACCCGTTTCAGCCGAATCGACAATGGTCAAGTACGCTGTAATGACCAACTGTGACCTGCAAAACATCGGCAATGAGTTTAGTAGAAAACCACTGGCTCTGGCAGTGCAACAGAACTCGGACCTGAAGGACAAACTGAGCAGTGCCATACTCAAGTTACTCAATCAAAGGCGACTTGAAAATTTAAAAGAAAAATGGTGGAATCGATTACCAGAGAGAATCGTAAGTATATATTGATAGGGCAATAATCCATTTATTCACACGTCTGTTTGCCCCAGGACTGTCAAGACTCGAAGAAGCAGAGCGACGGTATTTCAATACAGAACATTGGCGGTGTCTTTATAGTAATTCTCATTGGAGTGGTCTTGGCATGTGTCACCTTGGTCGTCGAGTACTGGTACTTCAAGGGAAAGGAGTCAAAAGTGGGCAACGAGCCGACCAGAGCTAATGTGCTGGGATTTGACTTGAAGAAAGGCGAACAGCCAATGCCACCAATGCATATCAACAACAACCTAGCTGACCAGAAATTAATCCTCAGACACTTTCAAGCAAAGAATTCCTTTTTTAATAACAACAGTAATTGAGGGTAAAGGGTGTCTACTAGTCTAAAATAATAAATACAACTGATAAATTACAATAAATGAATGCTCAGCTAAAGTTTACTGGTTTTCTATACTTTGTAGAAGCTTATTTTCAATTCCATGCAAAATCCAGTTGTGATTGCATATCTCTAGAGCCTCCCACTCGCCTTTGAATGCTTGTTTCGGGTCAGCCGGCATAGCCATGGCTGCACCTGACATCTGGTCTTGCATTACACGGCTCTGATCGGCGGCGTTATTCTCGCCAAGAACAAGCACGTAAATTGATCGCAGGCCAAACACATTGAGAAAGTACCAAGAGGCTGAAGATACCCACGAGGCATCAAGTGATTGTAGCTCAATTCCTCGCTGAAGCATAGGTTTGAATCGGAGGGTCAAGGGAAAGGGTACCTTGGTAGTAACAAATCCAGAGAAGGTCCAGTTGATCCAGCCACCAATGAGAATCATAGGCAGAACATTGGTCAAGTTGCCCTTTAGCATGTCGGTCATCATCGAGGGATCAGTCATTGGGTTTGGCGCTTGAGTATTTCGCTTTAGACTGACTTTAAAGTACCCGGTTTCCTCGTTGTTAAAGTAATGACGTCGCATAAGGAAGGACTGGGGAGGAAGTAAACAAACAAGGATTACAAAGAAGTTTATATTACTTAGTTCACTTACCTGTTTAGGAATGTATCGGCCATTCTCTCGCAATAGGCGACTTTTAATCATCGTCTGGCTGTCGATAACTTGCTGAAGTTCAACTTTTTTCGTAGAGTGAAGCAAAATGGATACATAGTGACGGAGAATTCCTACAAAGAAAGTGATGACGATGATCGGCAAAAAGACCCAAACGCGGATATCTGGATCGAGTAAAAGTTCATCCGACATGGTTGCAACTTTAGGAAACTCCCTTTTCAATGAATCTTGAAACAAAATCCCAATATACTAAGGATTCAATCTGAATGTTGTCTAGCAACTGCAAACAAGTTTTAGAAAATTGCAAAAAATATTGTCAGCCATTCATAAACATCGTAACTGTGTTTTTTTCTAAAAACAATTTTTCAATTTATTGACCGCTGCCACATGGACAACTGATCANAAAAAATATTGTCAGCCATTCATAAACATCGTAACTGTGTTTTTTTCTAAAAACAATTTTTCAATTTATTGACCGCTGCCACATGGACAACTGATCAGATTTTATCTCGTTACAAGTCGGAAAAAGCAGTTTACTGCGTTTTATTTGGTAAGCATCACACACATGTATAAATGTAAAAACACACACGGCAAAAACAAAATGACAGAGGAGGTATTTGAATGAATGAAAAATGATAACAAGTGTCTTGGGTGAGTATTTTGATGATATTGAAATGGACAAAATGAGTATTTATCAACTTTTGGTAAATTTTCAGCGGTAATCAAGTGAAGTGAAGTTGATGAGCATCATTCTTCTATCATCATTTAACTGATGAAGCAAAAAGGGAAAAAATAAGGTGATCATGGGATCAACTACTACTCTGGCTCCAGCGGACAAGCTTCAACTGTCTGAAGCCAGTTAAGGACAAACATTTCTTTATCGTGCTTTGTCACGCAACGTGACTTTTCCTTATCGTCCTCGTAGTCGACCACATGAATGAGAATATCGCCACTCTCTGTCGTGAAATGCTCGTCCCTATCACGAATCAGCTGAATAGGTTTGACAATCACATTGCTGCTTAGCTTGGCAATCTTCTCTTGCTCGTTATGTTGCAAGGTAGAAAGATTGATGCATTTGATCATCTCGAGTATTCTCTGCTGGATGCAGTTGTTGCGTACTTGCTTGCTGATAGACTTGATGAGATCAAGATCGGAGAATATGAAGGAGTTAATTTGCCTGATGGACTGCGTCTGCGGCGAGGGCAGTTGCGAGGAGTGAATGGTGTCACCGCAGATGGCCAGTGTAGAGCAGGAGTAGGTGATGTACTCGTTGTTGATCTCCTTACTCAGGTGATACTTGCTGTACATGGACAGGTCGCACTCGGACATGTGCTTTTTCAGTCCGGGCGACTCTCCTTGGCCCTTTTCCTGGCCGACGATGTCCGCCGTGGAGAATGACTTTACCGGGCACTTGTAGTGGTCGGTGAGTGCAATGTAGTCTCGCAGCTTGTCCAACTTGACTTCGAACAGACTGCGAAGACACTCGGAGAGACTGCTGGTGCTGCTGTGGCCTAGCTTGGCACTGTTTGCTCCTGATGCGCTGGACACGGTGCTGGTCCGCTGCTC